AGTTTCTTGACAAAGAAGTGTATTGTGATCCCAATGATAGAAAGTTCTTTTATTAGATCTAGTTTTCTTTTTAAGGCGTCTACTAGTGCTTATTGATCCACCATCCATTGCTTTTAACTGGGCCATTAAAAATATGTCTTGTTCTGTTTTAGAAAGAGCTTGAAAAGATTCCCTTAATTCTGCAAATGGTTCTTTGTAAATTCTTGAAGAACAGCCACAATTACAACCTTTTTCTAAAAAATCAATTGCCTTTTCATATTCATTAGAACCATTATACTTATTGCTTTTCATATACACTTGTCCCTATATATATAATTTTATAATTTTTTGTTCATTTTGTAGGTTTTTTTATAATTTAATATTTTTTAAAGTTTAACATTTGAATGGAAAGCCAGTGTTCAATTTATTATAAAAAATCTTGACAAAAGAAATACAAATGGGGCATGCTACAACAAAACCAGACAAAGTGAACACTGGTATTACCAAGGATTTTAGGGATTAATATGGTGCCAATCATTCTAAAGACATCAAATGCTGCTTCATTTGGTGAAAATTTTCATTAAAATCATCCCTTTTATGGATCAGTGGTTTTTGCCAAAAATGCCTAATAGCAATTTTTTTTTTAATTTTTTGAAATTGATTACACAGGTTTGGCTGCACTTTTATACAAGAAAAATATCCCTAAAATGTTCGTGTAGATTGTTAATATTAATATATATATATTTCCTGTGAGTCAAAGCAAATATCTCTAATTGTTCATATAAAAAATTTTGGATTACTAATTTTCCATAAGAGTTGGATCAAATATCTTCCTAATTTTCGCGTAACAAATTTTAGATTACTAATTTTTTTTCATATGAATCACATAAATTGTATTCGAACAAACTCTTCTACAAAGAACTTTGAAAAAGCAATTTTAGAAGAACATTTATTAATTACAATATCAATATTATTTATTTTTTTTTTTTAAAAAAGAGATTTCATGACAAATTTAAACTCTATCCATACTTTTATCTAAAAACAATCTGATGTTTTACCATTAACAAATCATTGTTAAAAAAGCAAGCATTAATTTGTAAAATTGTTAGTACAATAATTTTAACCAATCGAGTTATTGGAAATAATGGATTTTCAACTATGCTCCAATCAGATAATAATCAGTATGTCGGTACGACATTTATTTCTAAAAATTTTGTTCCAATTATTATTCTTCTTCAGACATTACTATTACTTCTTTTTATTTGTTGTTAGTAGGTTCTTCAATTTTACCTTGCTTGCTGACATATTTTAACGCTTCAAATAATAATCCAATGTTCCAAACGTGTTTTTTTCCAGCTCATGTTGGAAAACAGGGCTTATGAATATTTTGATCGTAAGTGCTCTAAATGGAACATCCTAGATTTTCTAAAACAGTGCGACGTGGAACCATTCGATATCAAAATAGATTATTATTTAAAATGCCTTGAAACCATTGCCAGCCGTGAGGAAGGTAACAGGCAAAAAAAAGCACAGGAGCTCATTGACAGATACAAAAAGGCAAGAAATTTTTTATTATGGAGCATAGGTGGAAAAAGTGGCGTGATTGAAACTTATTAGGTTGTCAATCATTCAAGGCTATTAGCTGAGCCACAAAACCAATGTTGGGACACAGGTGACTTATTAGGTTGCCTGATGTTCAAAGGCTACTAGCTGAACCAGCACTGGACCCACTGGGTACAGGTGGCTTATTAGGTTGCCTGATATTCGATGGGATGGAAAATCGGATGGTGAACCGGGTGTGTTAAGAGTATTGTTAACTTCTCAAATCTTCATTACTAGGACCTTCGACCTGATCGTACAATTGCTAGAAAATGGAATGAGGAACGTACACATAAACAGGTTCATGTTTATCAACCAACATATACAGAAATTACAAATAGTGGAACAATCAGTGGTGGGACAATCAACAGTGAAACTTTCGGTGCTAATACAACTATATCCAAAAGATGCCACAAAAAGGTATAGATGGGGAATTTTTTTAACTATTAATTGAGAATCAAAAGAAATGATTATTTTGTATTTAATATTTTAGGATAATTACAAAGATCATATCATGCAAAAGCAGAAAAAGCGAATAAAAACTACAACAGCAAAAGACGAAAAAGATGAAGATGATACTGAAGATGATGAGGCCGTCCAATTTGACATTGATTCAATTGTTAAGAGTTTAGAACAAGAATCGTTAAATGAGGTATGAAGTTAAACTTTTGATTTCCTATTTTTCTGTCAAATTTCTTATTATCATTTTGTAAACCAGTGGGAAATACATAATATAAACGTAACGGAAAGATTTCGTCAATATCAACAAGAGGTTCTTGAAAGGCTCCAAACAACAGGATTAACATGGAATAATACATATGAAATCTTGTAAGTGTTGTAAGATTTAGAAGTTGGAGGACAACAATTATGCTCATATGTAAATTTTATCACTATAGAGCGCTCTCATCCATAATTGTACTCAGTCAGCACTGTCCTTACCCAAATTTCACCTGTGAAGAGTGGCAGACAATAATTCAAACTAACCCATATACAATCAATGAGCCAGTATTATCAGCTCCAGTATCTAACGCTTTACATGAAGCTGTAATAAAACATTTTTCAGGTCAGGACAGTTACATGCATTCAGATGAAACTCCATTAAGCAGAGAATCTTCACAAACCTTCAATGGGCTGTAAGTTGACATGTTTTTTATTTTGATTAATCCCTTTAGTAGAACCTACTTAACAAAATTCATTTAACATATCAAGACGGAATACTATACCTGATCTTGCACCACTAAAAATGTCAGAACAAGAACATTGCAATCAATTTCTATATCCTTATACGAATCCAATTTTTATGAAGAGAAACAATTATTATAAAGTGCGATTAAATCGTGCTGCTAAGGGCACAAAACAAAGACCTGATTTTTTTTGCATTATGGATGATGATGTCCCTTTATTAATTTCTGAAATTAAGCCATTGGGGTGTGGTCCTCTAAAATGGAAAAAGGACATTGCAAAAGCTCATTTGCGAGCAAGAAAAGCAATTAATCAACAATTAACTTCGAAGGGTGGTCCAGGAGAATCAGCAATATTTCTCAACTGTGGTTTGTTTTTTGTAAGGATTATCAACTCATTATCTTTTATCTATTAAAGTCATATATTGAAAATTATAGGTGATGTTGTACAAACATATTTAATGGACCTACAATCTGACGGACTATATAGATCGTGGTCTTTTTTCACAACAAGACTAGTAATTGATGAACCCAGTTTACCTTTGGTTGAGTCAAATTTTGCCCATTTTGTGACCTTAGAGGTATAAGTCATATTTTGTTTACACATTATATCACATTTCACTGTTTTAAAATTTACGCAAATATGTGCATTCACAGAGACGTATATCTCAACTTGCAAAAAATTATAAAAATCGAAAAATTCCATTTACACCTCCCCTACAAATCCAATATATGCGTACTATTCCAGACTCTCCCCAGATCCGGAAAATCCTAGGTTCGTAATGGGTTATATAAAAATATTTGAGCTTTGATTTTAGCTTCATAGCATGTTATATTAACATGGATACGGATTGTGTCTTAAAAATAAATGGTTTCATCTTTAATATTTTATGTGCATTGGAAAATAATAAAATTTTCACTTGATAAAAATATATAAACTAGCCATGAAGCGATTGCTCATCATCAGTGGCTAGGTTATACGATATTAATATATGATCTTATAAATAATTTCATGATTTCATGTGATGGCTGATAAAAGTTTCAAATCGATGAATTTTAATTTTAATTATATGACACAAAAATTAGTTCCGTATATTATAATGGCACAATCTATTCTCCTTATAATGGATTTTTCTATAGCGGATTTTACTCTATAACGGACTAAAAGTCTTGCCCCAATTTTTACTATTTTGAAATCTCTTTCTATAACGGATATTATTAATAAAATTTTATATAACATATACCGGGTTGCATCCGAAAACCATTTCATATTAATATTAATATAACACTCACAGGACATTTCCCCAAATTAGCTTCTAGTATTTTCCAAAAATTTTCACTTGAATTTATATGAAAAGATTTCCTTCAAGCCCCTAATTTACATATTTCTTGTGCAGCTATCCTCACCAAATTTAACATACAGACTCTTCATTATATATTCATTTTTTGAAAAAATTTTTTGGAAGTAGTTATTAATAAAATGGAAAATCATCTCAGGGAAGTAATTTGCTAATTTTGGATGACAAAATCAATGATCTTAACCGTAAATTTCTCTTGCATTCCCCGAATTTATGAGAATTTTGAGAATTTTGCATGTTTATGATAGGAAATTTTTATTAAATTAATTTTTTGTCTTTTAAATATTTTGTTCTTTGATTAGTCACCTTCTTTTTCTCTCATTGAGTTATCTGTTTTCTTATTTTTTGATAGGGTAGGGGGAATCACGTGAAAATTTAATAGTAAATCCGGTCCGATGGTGATCAACAAAATGTGCGCATTTTTTATGTAACATAATTTCCGCACACAGTTTCCTATATGTGATCAACTATGTTTGTAAATCATATGATGGGTGTATTAACCCTTCATGACCTCTCTTTTGTCAATTGTTTATTTTATTTAGAAGGAAACAAAAAGATAAAATTCGTTAATTGATTTGATTGGTTACAATTGTAATATATGAAGATCCATAATAAAAATTAAGATCCGATTTTGTTGCATGAAAATATTCAAGTTTTTCAAAAAAAAATGAGGACGGCTGCCCTATTTATATGTCTTGGATTTAATAAATAGACTACTGTCTTGGCCCGAGTGATGTCATTTTTTTGATCTTTGCGGCAAAGAAGATGCAATCCCAAACCCGCTTAAAATAAATGAATTATTGTTCTCGCGCGTGATTTGTAACACGAAAACCATAAGCTCGCATTGCGTTCTCAGTTGTGAGCTTGTTTTTCTAAAAAAAGAATTCAAATCAGCGAATGATTATCGCTTCTAAAACTCTCTAAACAAAAAAGGATAACGAAGCGTAGTACCAATGCCAACTAATTTCTTTCTTGCGCTAATAACTAATAACTAACTAACTAATAAATAACTAATCAGTCAGATGTTCCGATGAATTCATATAAAATTAAGTTACACAATATAATTTCAAGATTGTCATTATGCTAATAGTAACAAACAATACAATAAATAAATTGTAAGATGTGTGAATAATAATCTTGTATAACAGGATTAAATTTTTTGTTTATCAAACAAATTTTATTGATTGATTAAATGTGGTATTAGAGTTATTGGATATTTTTGCCTTTTTTGGGTTGGTGTTTGGGACCTATAATGTACTTGATGTACTCAACTAGTAATGGGCGTAAAAATTATTTTGAAAAATGACTGAGTTATTAAGTACTTAATAACTCTATTGGTGACTTATTAAGTGTTAAAATCACAAACGTGCAGATCTCTTGTTGGTAGCAAAAATTATTTGAATCGTTCGAATATTAATTTGATGAAGTTAAATAATTAGATGACAGTGCATAAAATTCAGTGTGCGGAGTGTGCATGCTAACCAAATTTGATAATTATTTTTCCCAAATCTGCTGAATTTGGTTAACACAGACACTGAATTCTATACACTGGGATTGATTGAAAATGGATCTTTTGGATTAATAACTCTCGCTCAGAGTGCAACAATTAATAAGTGGTTATTAACTATTAATAACTTGGAGTTATTGAGTGTAGGGTTAAAAATTCCCATCACTATACTCAACCAAATATTCGGTGGGTCTTTGACTATATAAATTTAGTTGCACATGTTTTTAATGTAAAAAAGCCTTGTATTTCATTTTTCTAGTATGCAAACTAGTCCAATTGTTTGCCATATAAATCCCTGTATTAGTATTAGTAATAATATATGGAGTAAAAAGACTCCAAAAAAAAAACAGTTGCTAATACAAACTCTTGATACCACGTATCAAATTAGGAATGCAAAATTCGGACATGCAACCTAGCCTCCCGTTTTTTATTATTATTATTATAATATTTTTATCTTTGAATTTTTATTTATTAATTTTAAAAGAAAGATTAACATCGCTTTTTGACAAGTGAAAGAACAAACAAACAATTGTTTAATTAAATTTTATATTAATGTTTCGGGTTGTTTATAAGAGTAGAGAGTTTCTATTCGTAATACAAATTATTATTCAAAGTGTTTTATTCAAATTATTCGCTGTTTTATTCGTTTGATTTGAAGTACTCGTTTTATTCGCTTTATTCGAATTGCTCATTTTATTCGAATCACTCATTTTATTCAAATTATTCGCTGTTTTATTCATTTTATTCGAGTTACTCGTTTTATTCGTTTCAGATTTAAACATCCATTAATTATTAATCATGACCATTTTAATTTCTGGTTTGGTATATGGTACCGAATATTCATTAAGAATATTCATGTGTGTAGCCGAATATTCAAATGATGTTTTAGTTATATACAGCTTCAATTCACGGAACAAAATAATGATGTATTACTAATGCTCAATTTGGTTGAGAAAATTGTACAGAATTCTATGCTGATTCGATACAGAAGAAATTTATGTAATTGAACTTTCCAAATATGCGAATCTTAATGATAATCTTAATGATAAATACTTAACGAAAAAAATTTTTTAATTATAAGTATTAAAAATGCCTCAAATCAATCAAGTTAATAATGATAATAATAACATCAGCAATCATTTAGGAAGGGATCTGGACCGATGGTTAAGACAAAGAATATACCCCATTAATAGAAGAAAAAACATTGCACGCTTACAACTATTATCTGCATTATGAAAAATACAATTATGCAAGGTCTTGCCTTCAAACTGATGAAAATAGTTTTCCTGACATCCATCGGAGTTTACTCGCCTTAGTCATTAGCGATTTGGATAGAAGTTCATCAGATTACGAAAGATACAAGGTCACTATATACACTAGGCGCTTTGATGAATTTATCAACAGACGAAATTCTGCAAATCAAGATTGTTATAATCAATTAAATATCAATGACGAAGATGATTACGATCAACAAGATAAATTTACATGGGAGGATTTTTACGCCCCATAAGGTATTATTTGAATCAATAAATTGAGAAATAAAGCTTAATTTATAGTTTATTACTGTCAAAAAAAAAATGTGTATATTAAATTCTAATAAACAAATATTTTACCATGCCGAAGGCAGTAATCCAATTTCTAATATTATACAAAAAATAAATACTACACAGTCTTATTTATCACAAGAAATTCATAATTATCCTATTTATCCAGTTATTAAATTTAAACAGCCGTCTCATGTAGTGTTAGTTTCCAGAACTATAGTTTCACAAATGTGCGAAAGTCGAAACTAGTTTTGACTTTCGATCACCAATAAATAAATGATTAGGGAAAATGCACGCTACGATTAATCTATACAGAGCCACAAGGGGAAGGTTAGTCCTTATATCAATTCTTTGATGAGTAATTTTGCTGAACTAGCATTTGCTATATAGCTACCTCCCATTCGAGCAAAATTCTGTACCAATTCCGACATCAATGATGCCTCATTATTTCCCAATATGGGACCTTTTCTAGCAAAAACGGTCTTCCATAAAAATAGATTTTTTTTGGGTAAATCACAAATTAAAATTGT